TGAGTTGAAAATTGTTGAAAAATGGTAATATCTCAAAAAATGCACATCAGATTAGGAAAATCAAAGTAAATTTTTTGATATTTTTGAAAATGCTATCATGTGACACCGTCTACCCTCCTGCAATAGGAGGGTAGACGGTGTCACATGATAGCATTTTCAAAAATATCAAAAAATTTACTTTGATTTTCCTAATCTGACGTGCATTTTTTTGAGATATTACCATTTTTCAACAATTTTCAACTCATTTTCATTTTTGCCGATTACAGCGCCATCTATCACGAAACGAAAAAATGTCTCATACAAAAGTTACATATTTTTTCACGGAGAATCCAAATCTGCAATAAAAAAATAGGGGTTTCTATTTAAGATTTTAAAGTCACCCCCCCTCCCGCCCCCGGGGGTGATGCAGGAGGGTCGAGCTTTATGTTAATGGATGTCCCTCTTCGAGGTGAACAACTTTTATTGCAACTTTTTTTTAATCCGATTTGTATTTTTCCAAATATTCTGAAAAACAGTTTTAAATGCCTCACCCTGTATGTTTGTATAAAAAAATTTTATACAGGGTGAGCCATTTTAATACACCCAGTCGAATATCTCGAAAACCAAACCCGAGAGAGATAAATGTTTCAGACAAAAATTGTTTGGTTTCGAGGGGGCCATAAGATGGTACCATTGGTTTGACCTTGAAGAATTATTTGAAGGTCACATAAAGGTCACACCAATTTGTTTAAATGGCATCTCCTATTTTTTATTACATATTCTTGTAGCTGACCTCGAGAGCGTTCCAAAACGCTATAATAAAGTATTTTTTATTAAGAACTTTTTGAGTTATTAAGGTTTGAAAGGTCCAATATTTTGACATAAATTACAAAATATCTTGTAAAATATTCATTTTTTATCATCTTACCTTAATACTTTTTTGAACAGAATAATGAGACAAATAAACCCGTGCAAAGAAAATATACAATTGTTAAAAAATTTTTTTTATTACTTGTTACAAAATTGTGTTTTCTTTACACCGGTTGATTTGTATCATTATTCTGTTCAAAAAAGTATTGAGGTAAGATGATAAAAAAATGAATATTTTACAAGATATTTTGTAATTTATGTCAAAATATTGGACCTTTTAAACCTTAATAACTCAAAAAGTTCTTAATAAAAAATACTTTATTATAGCGTTTTGGAAAGCTCCCGAGGTCAGCTACAAGAATATGTAATAAAAAATAGGGGATGCCATTTAAACAAATTGGTGTGATCTTTATGTGACCTTCAAATAATTCTTCAAGGTCAAACCAATGGTACCATCTTATGGCCCCCTCGAAACCAAACAATTTTTGTTAGAAACATTTTTCTCTCTCGGGCTTGGTTTTCGAGATATTCGACTAGATGGATGAAAATGGCTCACCCTGTATACATTTTGTATATAAAAATTTTTTATATAAAAATTGGTTTGTATAAATAATTTTTATATACATTTTTATATACTGATTATGCATGAAAATTTTTTTACCGGGGTCTGTTATACATTTAACGATAAAAAGACATTTTTCAGAACTATTATCCAGACATCTGTAGTACAAATATATAAAATAATCTCATCCATACTACTATTCTTTAAAAGAATTACAATTTAAAAAATTGTATTTAATAGAAAATCAGACGTATTGACGATGTACTTTGGACATCCCTAAAATGCCTGCGTAAATGACCTTATTATTGGATGTCCAAACGACGTCCTTGAGACGTATTTTAGACATCCGTCGACATAAACGGGACGTCGACATAAACGGGACTTTTCAAGACATATTTCGGACATCCAAAGGACGTCAAATTGTTGCATGGAAAGAGTCTGGCAAGGGTTGACGCAAAATGGCGTCTGGTCTGTTCGTTATCGCTGCATTACTGCACTAGTGCAATTAACTAACTGCACTAGTGCAGTAATGCAGCGATAACGAACAGACCAAAGGTAACCAAATAATAATAATAATCCCGCGTTCAGAGTACAGATTCGAGACACCTTATTGGTTCCGCCATTTTGCGTCAAACCAATCAAACGGAGAATATTTCTTGCCAGACTCTTACTACAGGGACTCTAGAAACCAGCGGCAAATGAGGTATAATATGTGCACTAAATAATGAACTTATTGTTAGACATTTTACCTATAAAAATTACTGAGCAAAATATAATAAAATAAAATTTTAAAACAAAAAATAATTTTCTTTTCTTAAATACGAGTTTCTTTCTTTACACTTTGGTTTGTTACTAATTTTATGTAAATGTTAATTTTACATTAATATTTAATTAAGTTTTTATATTTATGTTTAACAACTTACCGAAAATCCATTTTAAAATCCACATCTGAGTATGATATATGAGACAATCCACATAATTTTTGCATTTTATTCTGGGCACCCGAGATCGCACATATATCAATTCTCTTAATCCCTACATCTCTGAATTGCTTTCACTTGATTCAGCCTCATCAATATTTTCTATTAATAAAGTTGCAATTAATGCAATCATATTTTTATTTATATTAGACACCTCACTCATTTTTAACAAAACTTAGAAACGTAAACAAATAGAAACTGCTGGAAGCATACTGTGATGCGTTCCGTTTCCTTGTTAAAACCTTGTAGCAGTTTGAAAGCGCACGAAACTAAAACGGAAGGACACTTCTGTGACATCATAGCGTCAGTACTCGCAGTGAATAACGGAACGCACCAACAAAAATTACGATTTCACACATTCAATTTGTGTGTCGAACTACCAAATATCGCAGATGTATATTAACGTAAAACGGATGTGATTTGGATCCATTGAATATCCTGTAGCGAACATCCGACGGATGTCCCAAATAGGACGTACATTGGACATCCATAATTCGCCCATAGAAGTCAGATATAAAATGGATATGTTTTGGACATCTTTAGGATGTCCTTTGATGGACGTCCCATGAATATCCACAAATGGACGTCGTTAAGACGTTCATAAAATGTCCACGGACGTACCGACATAAAATGGACATAATTCAGACGTCCGATGGACGTCTTGTGCTATGTGGGTACACACCGGAAACCAAAATACAATCGATGCAATGGCGGCATACTGATTTCCCGTCGGTAAAAAAATTAAAACTGCAACAGACTGTGAAAGAGTCATGGCAACATTTTTTGGGATCAAAAAGGAATTTTGCTTATCAATTTTTTGACTCCAGATCAACCCATAAATGCCGACAGATACTGCGAGGCCCTCAAAAAGCTTCGTTTGGCCATTCAAAACAAGAGGACATGTCGGCTGACAAAGGAGGTGTATTATATGATAACACTCAGCCCTACTCCGCACGAAAAACGGTCGATCTCCTCAATAGATTTGGTTGATATATTCTGAACCATCCTGTCCATAGTCCCGACCTAGCACCAAGTGACTATTTCTTTTCACCCTTTTGAAAGACTACATGGATAGGAAACACTTTTCAATTGACGAAGAGGTGAAGGATGCCGTGTGTGAATGGTCAAGGAAGGTAGTGGCCTAAACGTGTGACAAAGGAATACAAAAGTTGATACCCCGACTCACCAAATGCTTGCAATTGAATGACGATTACGTGGAAAAATAGTGGTATACTATGTCATATAAGTTTCAATAATAAATATGTATTTTTCAATTTTTATAGAATGTTGTAACCTTAATTTCCGAATATACCTCGTACATGCAAATAAAAATCCAGATGTTTGCAATCCACAAAATTTAGTAGATGTACTAAAGTGGAATTTACTTCAGTCTTTTTAACAGTAAAGAACATTCTGGTTTTTTATATAAGAATTAAATTTAAATAAATATAAGTTTAATAATTTTCTTAAGTTAGGTTATTTCCAAAACAAAATAATAAAAATCTCTCTTTCATGCTTCTATTTGTACCACTATACATTATAGATTATAAAATTTTAATTTAGGGTGTGATCAAATGTTTGTTAATATTAAGAATTAAAACAAGTGTAAACAAGATTTTTAAGCATGTTTTCTTTTTATTATAGTTTTCGTGCAAAAGGAGTTTGGAAACGCTTTGCCGATATTGCAAGAGCAGAATCTTTTCCAGAAACAGAAGGAATTAGAAATACCATTATTCCCACAAGTGATACAGTCAAGTATCAAAATATCATGTCGATGCATATCAAGTATCAACGAAGCTTTCTGCTCTATGGTGACACTGGTACTGGCAAGAGTCTCTATCTAAAAGATTTGCTAATCAACAAATTAGACGAAAAAGAATATCTGCCTAATCTTATCACTTTTGTGCCAAATATTACTGCGGCACAAACACAGGAGTTGGTATTATTGAAACTGCATAAGAGACGTAGAAATCAATATGGACCATCATTTGGTAAGCGTTGTATTGTCTTTATTGATGAAGTAAATATGCCAGCGAAAGAATTCTATGGTGCACAACCACCAATTGAATTATTACGGCAATTCTTCGATCATAGCATATGGTTTGATTTGAATAAATCTGAAGCAATCACTATTTTGGACACTATGTTTGTATGCGCCATGGCAATTTCCGGCGGTAGTAGGCAAGAGATCTATAGTCGTTTTTTACGACACTTTAATTTATTCAATGTATACAAGTTTTCACGCGATAACTTGTTCAGGATCTTCACAAATCTTATGTTTATGGGATTGAAGCAGAAAGGTTTCACTGTCGTTGTAATGCCGATTATCAATGATTTAGTGAATGCCACTATACATGTGTTTGAGAAAGTAATCATTTATTTACGACCGACACTACTCAAGCCTCATTATCTCTTTGATATACGTGATTTTATGCGAGTGATAACTGGTTGCACTTTAATAAAAAAGGAATCTGTAAATAATAACAAGACTATCTTTAGTAGATTATGGGTACATGAAGTGCTTCGAGTTTTCAGCGATCGTCTGATTAACCATTCCGATCGATATTGGTTATTCCAAACAATCAAAGATATAGTAGAAACTGTTTTGAAAGAACGATTTGACATAATATTTGAACATCTGCCTAAACTTCAAAATAAAATCACAGAAAAGAGCCTAGATAGTCTGATATATGGTAACTTCATGGATATTGAATCTGTGTTGGAAGATCGTAGATACGAGGAAATTCCGACAATAGAAGAATATCAACAGAGAGTTTCTTTATTTCTTGAGGAATACAATGATACACATCGTGACAAGATTGATATCGTGCTTTTCCATTATGCACTTCAGCATCTCGCTAGAATTTGCCGTGTGTTGATGATTCCTTGTAGTAACATGTTGATGATCGGTACTGGTGGATCAGGAAGAAAAAGTCTGACAAAACTTTCTGCCGCTATGTCTGGCTATGATCTTTATCAGTTGAAAATTAGCAAGGTGTATGGCATGCAGGAATGGCAAGAGGACATAAAAAATATCCTTAGGTATGATAGTGATTAATTTATTGTAGTATAATTACTATATTCAAACATAACATATATGTATAGCGTACTAATAGGAATGATGCATTATAAATTTTTGTTTATTATTGAAACAAATCACTCAATCTATGTTTTATATATCTTATATTTTATAATCTTTAAATATATATTCATTTTTAATAATATTTATATTATTTGTTTTATACACAAAGTCATAATATAGTTGTTTAAAAAATATCTGACATTCCTGAAAAATAGAACTTTTGAAAAAGATTATTTCTTGTTTCTTATAATTCTTAACAAACCGATTAAGAAGATTAAGTGAATAATTATAGTTTATGACCTTCTCCATAGTAAATTTTAACTTTATAACAAAAGTCCTTCATAATAAATAAGTATGGTTTACATAAAGTTAAAAATAAAAATAGAGTAATATTATTATATTTAACTAACAAGAGAACGGTCGGAAGTGTCCCTCACTGATTTTGATGTGCTTCAGATATGTTGTAGAGCATAAAAAAATATTAGACTCGTATTTTTTAGTAGCGTTTTTCGACGTTAGGGGGTGAAACAGCCCATCGAAAATAACGGTTTGTTTATTTTTTACGAATATTTTCGAAAATATAAGATTTATGAAAAAAATGTTTGAGATAAAAGTTTTATTGTTTTTCATAGTTTTCACAATGATATAATCACATTTTTCAAAAGGGTCAAATTTTTTAATTTAGCCCATCCCCACCATTATTTTTAAAAAATTGAAAAATTTTTTCAATGCTAAAGTTTAAGAGCATCAACTACTAATTACGTCCATGTTAACTTTAATTGTGATATGACAATTTGATTTTTGGGAAAACCAGATATATGAGGTATAGGCGTCGCGCTGTAGATAGGTGTTGCATTATTCCTTTGCAGTTGTGATGAAATATATCATATGACGTATTATTTGGTGAAAATACATTAAGGATAAGATATCACCGATATCTTTCCCAATATTGCACATCAGGTCAAAGTCAATCGATTTAAGAAAAAATATGTTAAAGTTGCAACGATGCACCCCGAAAAAGCATCGTTCCCAGCGACCGATCGGATGCCGCCGACCGTCAGGCGAAGGGTGGGCGCACCGCACCCACCAAATAAACGTGTACCACGGCCGCACGGCGAACCGAACGCTAGCGGCAGCGCCTGAACCGAACCGAGCACGCAAGCTCGGCTGTCGCACGGTCCCAAGACCGCGCACGCGCTAACGCGCGCTACCCCCGACACCCGTCTACCCCACTAACCGATTGTTGCTAATTGGCAAGAACAATAGGGGATAGACGGGTATAAAAGACGCGACCCGAGGCTAAAGAATCAGATTCCGTCGCCAGCCTAGTCTCATTACGACACGAAGCCCGCACCGAATCCTATCCGCAAAGCCTGCTCCGAAGCGTAGCAACGAGGTGAGGAGTAACTCGCCTCCGCCGAGAGTTATCGGCTCCGTCTTCACCGCAAGAGTTTGCATCCCGCATACGATCCCGTCGAGTACAGCGAGGTGAGGAGTTACTCACCCCCAACGAGTTTTACTGCTGCCCAATGTTGACCGTCTTCTGGATAACCCGACGTACCTGGGACAATAGGGAGGTGAGGCGTGATTCGTCCCCGCCGGTCGTTACTGGTACCCAGCACGATCGCCCCAGCAACCACCAACGCCTTGCCCGCGGGATCTCACCGCATCGCCGTTTCTAAGGCCCGCGCCGTACATTATAGACGCGCCATTGCTACAGTCCGCGCCCGCGAATTTCAGACGCACCATTATTACGGCCCGCGGCCGCTACACCGAAACCTCGCCGCATACACGTGCCGCCGACTCGCGCCGTGCGACGCGCCTGAATGACGGCTCGTGAATAACCGACCGCGCACCGCGCTCGCTTCCGCGCTGTGGGTCCGCTGCATAGCCGAATTAAGCGCTGCGCACAGAAACATACTTCGCTTGTAAATAAGTCATTGCTTGTACAGGGTGAGTCACAACATTTGTGACAACGCTCGTGAAAAGGTAGAACGGATCGAGATGAACAGAAAAGTCCTGTACCATTTGCAATTTTCGCAATAGTTAACGAGTAATTAATTATTAAAAATCGTCGACTTTGCCCTGCCCACCGCCCAATTCGAGCGCGTGGCGAGATGTGACCGCACGGCGATCGATATTGCCAGGCGAGGGGGGAGGACAGCGCGCCGTTGCCGGCGAGCTTACGTCGCCGCTCCCACGTCTTGC